GAAAGGGATCTTGGAGTCATTACTGACTCCAAGATGAACATGAGCTGCCAATGCCAGACCGCAACCAGCAAGGCCAGCCATACCTTGTCATGCATCCACAGATGCATCTCAAGCTGGTCCAGAGAGGTGATACTCCCCCTCTGTGCGACACTGGTCAGGCCGCAGTTGGAGTACTGCGCCCAGTTCTGGGCACCGCACTTTAAAAGGGATGTGGCCAGCCTGGAGAGAGTTCAAAGGAGGGCCACCCGCTTGGTGAGAGGACAGCAGGACAGGCCCTACGAGGGGACAGAGGGACCTGAACCTATTCAGCCTCGGCAAGGAGGCTGAGGGGGGACCTGGTGGCTGCTACAAACTTATCAGGGGAGATCATCAGCAAATAGGAAGATCCCTATTTTCTCCAGCACCACCTGGGGTGATGAGGAACAATGGTAATAAGCTGATGAAGAATAGGTTTAGGTTAGAGATCAGGAGGCAATATTTTACAGTTAGGGTGGCCAGAATCTGGAACCAACTCCCTAGAGAACTGGTCCTTGCCCCTGCCTCAGGTAAGTTCAAAAAGAGATTAGATGATCACCTGTCTGGGGTCTTGTGAACCCAGCATTCATTCCTGCCTGTGGCAGGGGGTCAAGCTAGATGATCTGTTCAGGTCCCTCCTGACCCTAGCTACTATGAAGCTACTATGAAACTATGAGAACACAGGGGACTTGTGATTTTTTTCTAGGGTAAAAACATGACACCTGATCTATGATACAGTTCCTCTTTAAAAAAAACCCCAAAAGACATGGATGGCAATGGCCTTTTTTCACAAGCAGAAAAATGCAAACCTGGACTAGACTCCACTTCCAAATGCTCAAGACATACATCAAGGTACTAGCAGCATGTGCTTAAAAACATATGCTGTTGATTTATCATCCCCCTTCTTTAGCTCTGGGCCAGGACTTTCTGTGGTTCAACTGAATTGGTGGATCTTCCTCTGTAAAATTGCCAGTGAATAAGTGACTGATGTAATTAGATGTGCAGCACCTGTCTGTGGACAAAGTACTTATAAGAAGGGCCTTACCATGATGGTAAAACAGTAGTTTTGGAGATATGGCAAGGTGTGAAGTTTAAATTAAAACATGTGGCCTTTCAGGCTGGATCCAGTACAATGATAAAATGCTCAGGTATCAGCCCCTCAGCAGTGGATTCTTAGCATTTTTTCAAACATCCGTATCATGTGAGCGCTTTGTATGAACAATATGAGATTGCTGTAGAGCAAAGGCAATTTGGAATGCATTCTTATTGTGTTCTTGAAGCAAAGATGTGTTTCTATTCCCTTTCCCCCCCGAAGACTGAGTTAATGCTGTAATTTCCAGACCTGTTTGCTACACCTTTTCTGTAATTGTGCTGAGCATGCTTTGGCTTTGCACTGTATTTGCAAACAGATGTACTGCCTAGATTTTGGAAAGGGAACCATTTTTGATTTAGCCAAAACCTGGAGGAAGAGAAATGCAATGTTACCCTGCACTGTTCCACTAGGTCAAGACTGGCAGAAAGGCAGCTTAATTGCCTGTGAGGGATTCCCCAGCGAAAGAGGTTGGCTAAATGACTTCCATAAAGGCTGCTTCCAGTAAGTGGAACAAAGCAAAATGGGATGATATTAGCTGGGGTGGCTAGGAGGGAAGGTTGGAAGAGATTCATATGGCAAGAAAAAAAATCAAACCCTCCTATATCAGAGCACCAATATTAAATAATGAACATGGTACCATTGAGGCTGTAGATCTTCTCCTCTGACTGAGCAGAATGGGGTACAACAGAAATGGGAAATCCTAGAAGTATGAAGACATTCATAGAGGGATAGAAAACAGCTTTAAGAATAGCCCTGCTGCTCCATCCCTACCTGCCCTCAAAATCTCTGCTAAAGGGGCTAAGTGGTACAGGAACCTGTAGGAATCAGCTCTAATAGGCTTAATTGTTCAGTCCCACAGACATATCTTGAAGTTTGCTGAAGCATCAGTGGCGGGGACACATTGCAATTGGCAGACAAGTTTCCTTGGGTGAATTTAAGTTGGTCTAATCAAAGATATCAATCTTTTATTAAACCAACTTAAATAGTTGGAAAACAGTTTTAGCAAGCTTTTGGGCTTAAAAACCCTTTGTCAGGCTGAGGAATGTCATTAACATTCAACCCTGCTCCCTCCAGCTTTTGGGGGCTGATGCACATTTTCTGTTCCCTAAACTCCAATTTATTGCAATATTTATCTTTGCTTCTACTTTGTCCCCTCCACAGAAAAAAAAATAAGGTTTAGTTGATAAAATAAATAAAATGTTTAGTTCAAATGCATGACCAATGATCTTAGAAAAGCAACAGGGTTCATAATTCATTGCCCCTGCAAATGCAAAACTACACTTTATCAGGCAACTGGCATTTACTAACTTACCTATTCTTTTTCCTGGGAAATGTTGATAACCTCTTAGTATTTAAAGTAGTAACCTCTGACTTCCTTTGGGGTTCATTTGGTACATGAATTAACATTACAAAACATCTGCATTATCTTCTACATAGACACTATTCTGCCTTAAACGCAAAGAGATTCCTCAGTTTACGTCAATAACTGTTTTTAGTGCCTTATTCCAATAATGCTTTTTTTCGGTAACCCCATATAACATGATGCCCCGCCATTCAGAAACTTTCCTGTTAAACAACATTTACTTTCATCATCTGAATACAGCATTTCTCAAAGCGTTGGAAAAAACAGTTGTTTGAGAGGAGGAGAGTAGAGAAAAATCCCGGCAATCTGTGGCAAATTATAAACACATTGTTGTGATGTTCTGAAAAGTAAATGTGTAAAATTGCTCTTTATCTTTCAATTATATATTATATGCAAGACTTGCTTCAAATACTTGTAGAGTGTTTTTAGTACAATGAAGGAAACTGAGCTCCCACCTTAATAGAGAAAGCATGGTTTCAGTTTCACATTATCCTTGCTTAGCCCACGGTATTACAAGTTTATTGCTTCTGCTTGACAGTACAAGAAGTTGAAAGCTAAAAGTCATTTTCTGCTTTATTGACCCAAAGGCACAAAAATGCTGAAATTATCTTGTTCATTAAAGAAAATACTTACAATTTTTTTGTTTTCTATTAATACCGTTGAATTGTTTGTTTCAACATTCCGCAGAATTACGGTGCCGTTCCGATTTCTATAAATGAATTCTTTATCTGAAGGGAAAAAAGAGAAGAAGTCAGCCAGATTTTCACCAACGGAGTTATGCAGACTTAACTACAGATTTGTGCCAAACAGAGCTGATGAGAAATGTCCTGCTGTTATGACACCTCAGTTCTGATCTCCTCCGCTCTGTTCTGTCCATTGCCAAAGTATCTGTGCACCTTCTGCTAGTGTTTTAAGTAACATGAATAACATCTGTAACAGGTTTCTTCTCCCACCCCATCCTCTCCCCATGGAAACTGTTTTTAAAGGACTGTTTATTTTAGCACACGTGTGTACACACACTGGCCACTGCTCTCCCATATTTTCATTGTAGAGGGGGCACAGGCAAAGAAATGCCTTAAAGCAGAAAACAGCGAGGTTTGAGATGTTTAGTTCTCTGTGGGAACTTGCTCCATGGTGGGTTTGGTTCCCAAGTCAGTTAGTATCCATAGTTTCATAGTTTCATAGTTTCTAGGGTTGGAAGGGACCTGAGAAGATCATCTAGTCCGACCCCCTGCCATGGCAGGAAAGAGTACTGGGGTCAAACGACCCCAGCAAGGTGTTCATCTAACCTCCTCTTAAACACCCCCAGGGTAGGAGCCAGCACCACTTCTCTTGGAAGTTGGTTCCAGACCCTAGCCGCCCTGACCGTGAAGTAGCACCTCCTGATGTCCAACTTAAACCTTCCCTCCGCCAGCTTGTGACCATTGTTCCTGGTCACTCCTTGCGGCGCTCGGGGGAACAGGGACTCCCCCAGCGCCTGCTGATCCCCCCTAACCAGTTTATAACAGGCCACAAGATCCCCCCTCAGCCTTCTCTTTTGGAGGCTGAACAGGTTCAGGTCCCGTAGCCTCTCCTCATAGGGCCTGCCCTGCTGTCCCCTGATCATGCGAGTGGCCCTCCTCTGGACCCTCTCCATGCTGTCCACATCCCTCTTGAAGTGCGGCGCCCAGAACTGGATGCAGTACTCCAGCTGCGGCCTGACCAGTGCCGCATAGAGGGGGAGGATCACCTCCTTGGACCTGCTCGAGATGCATCTGTGGATGCATGACAGTACAGTTGGCCTACCTGACTGCCTCCCCACACTGCCGGCCCATGTTCATCTTGGAGTCAATGATGACTCCAAGATCCTTTTCTGCCTCCGTGCTGACAAGAGGGGAGTTCCCCAACCTGTAGCTATGGTGCCTGTTGTTCCTCCCCAGGTGCATCACCTTGCACTTGTCTGTGTTGAAACCCATCCTATTCTCATCCGCCCACCCTTGTAACCTGTCTAGGTCTGATTGTAGCCTGCTTCCACCCACAAATGATCATTTGTTACCACAATAGAGTGTCGAGGCAATTATTACTGACTCTGACCTTCTTCCTTCCTGCGTACTAGTATCTGAAGCAGAAATATGGTAGGAATTGACTATTGCTTCATGGCACCACACACCTAATTTATAGCTATGTCGTCTACTTGTATTAATCATGTTAACAGTGGCACTTTCTGGGAATCCCAGTCAAGGAACAGGGTCCATTGTGGTGTGGTTGTTGCTGTGACAAAGTCGTCATTTCTGGGTGTGGGGACTCTCAAGTTTAACTTGGCAAAAAGAATACAGCAAGTGGATGCAATACAAACTGAATGAGGATGGACCAGGTAGAGTTATTAGAATAATATAACAACACTGAAACAATAAAATGAACTGTTCTTCTCAGATCTGGCTAATGGAGGGTCAGGTGCACAGTCCTCAGCTGCTAAACCAGCAGGAAAAAAAACCAAGCTACAGCACAAAAGGCTGTCTGAAGGTTGCTTTTATCTCTCTGAGTCAGGAACAAACTTATGTCCCAGTACAGCACACTGCAGCAGGGGTGGCTGCCTCTCAAGTAAATTGAAGTCCTGATCGCTTTGTTATCAACAGATCCCATGGAAGTTTTCACACAAGAGAAGCACTGCTGCTCTCTGTGATCTGGCTGAATTAATAACTTGGGTTATTAACTTCAGTAAACCTAAATTTCCCCTCCAGGTTCAGTTAGGGAAGCAGGCCTTCATTTCCTCTCTCAAACTGCTGCCTTATTTAGTTACTACAGCCATAACCCACAGCAACTATGTTAAAGATGAGAGAATTCTTCAATTGCCTAGAAATTATTTGAGGATGACAAGATTGAAAGATGGGATAAAATCAAATGTAAATCCCTTGGGACTTTGTGACTGCTCATACCCTGACCTATGTTTAAGCTGGTCTCAAACCAAACAGGGCCTGTCACCGGTCCTGGTTTGGATGCAGTGGTATTTAAGACATTTCAGCCCAACATCAGCAGGCAAAATCCCCCGTCCCCCAAGGTTTCACAGATAGGGATCACCAGACTTCAAAACTGCCAAATCCAAACCTGAATTTTAGTCTTATTCATGCCTCAAATCCCAGTCTCAACCTAATGTACATCCCAAACCACCTCTAATATAGGTCTCTTTCAGGCACATATTGCACATGTCCAGTAGCATGTCTAAGGCAGAGTGACGGAGGTAGCAGCTCTAGGCACTGATTTAGGGAAAAGCAGCAGAGGAAGAAGGGGGTTGGAAAAATATCAGCTGCTGCCACTGCCATCTGCCAGCACCATTGATACAAGCAACCAGGACATACATGGGGCATGTATGGAGCTATCCTCTTGTGCCTCTGCTTAAATCTATGGCATAATTAACTAAAGAATTAAAAAGTACATGCAGAGGAAAGGGGTAGCATCAATGTACTCTGGAGGGACTGCTCAAGACCTCCAGGGTTACCTATATAAGTCAGAGTTGTAGCAGCTTCAAGTCTCCAAAATACTTTTACTTTGAGGACATCCTCCCTATTAACATCTTGAACTCTAAGGACCTAGCTCAACCTCAGCTCAAGACAAAATATTCCAGACTCATGATCAGCAAAACCAGTCTATGAAACTACAATATAAATGTATAAACCTAATTCTTCTCATTAGATTTTAGATCCATAGATCTAAAAGCACTTTACAAATGAGACAGGTGTTATAATCCCCACTTTCACAAATAAAAGCATTGAGGCATAAGACGGGAAATGATTAACTCAATATTACCCACCAAAGCAATGGCAGAGATAGGAACTGAACCAAGGTGTTCCAAGTCCAAGTCTGGCACTCCTTCCACAAGACAATACTACCATGTTACATCAAGGATACATGGTACTTTACCTGAGCACAAGCAAAACTGTTGAGCATCTTTATATATCTGCGTGCAACATATCCCCACTGCTGATGCGCAATCAATAAAACACAATGAAATTCATTTGCTGTAATTTAAGAAAAGTGACTTGTTCCTTATTTGCAGGAAATAAAGAAGGAAAGTTTCTTCATTAGGTGCCTGCAGAACAAACACACTCTTTCCATGTTCACCCCCAACACCAGAAGACAAATAAAGTAAGGATGAGACATCTGCCCTATAAAGTGGCATGCTTTGCTTTATACTGGTTTATATACTAAGCTTGGTTCTCCTACTTGCATAAACCTCCCCAGCATGGCTTTGAAGTGCAATTTTCTTCTGGGGAAAAAATTATACAAACTTTCTGCTCCTGATAGACATGACCCACTATGGAAAAGCTAAGTAATGGGCACTTGCCGCTCTGTGGTTCTACCTCAATCAGTAAAATCCTTTCCATTGATTTCATTGAAAACTGAGTCTACCCCATAGATACCACATTATCACAAAAAAAGATGTGCAAAGATCTGCTTTTTACGAAAACAGCAGATATAACTGGTAATAAATGACAAATTAACTGTAAGACCCTTCTCAAATTTCTACTAATTAAGTATTTATTAACAATCAATCGTTCATAAATGCTAGTGCATTAAACAGAGTGCTATGTAAGCAGCTTGGAAGACATTTGAATTATATATTGAATTCAGTAGAAAAGCCTTGCTTGAAATATGGTTGGCTATAACACTCAAAAATATGTGCGTGTATAGATCAAGACATTTTCTAATTACAGTAATCTGCATATAAAGCTTGATGTCAAATGGAAACTCAGGTCTGTAGGTCTATTAATAATTAGAACGTGGGCTGATTAAATTTCTATTGCTGCCCTTAACCATGTTCCTGCTAAAGTCTTACTATTCCCTGTTCTTCTAGTTGTCCTTCCCCTAAAAAGACTAACCATTTTAGAAAAGTGTTTTCTTCAAGGTGACCAAAATTATGGCTGAAAGTTGGTGATGAAAGACGTTTTTCCTTACAGAAATTGTATAGAATTGTAGGGTGGGAAAGGACCATAAGAGTCATCTGATCCAACCCCTACTGTGTTTGCATGAATTTCTGGAACTAATACAACACATTTTTTATTTTAAAAAAGAAAAGAAAACCAGCATTGATTTGTGAGGACTGTGCATCTTGCTATTATATTCAATATATGTCATCAATACAGAGTCTGGATTAATGAACAGAAAATTGGTCTGCTTAGAAAAAAAAGAACAAATTGATCTGCATTGTATTCCAAGCAAAACAGAGCAAGGTTTAGCTAGTCTTCAAGACGTATTATCGTAGTCATCAAAAGAATCAATGAATAATATTCCTGGGCTTCTGTTTTGAAATGTGTGATTTGTTCCGGTGAAGGAGCATTCACTTAAATGGGACGTACCTCAATCAAAGACAAAAGCAAGGCAGCAATCTTTGTCTGTAATGAATTCTGTCCAGTGAGCTGATGAGAGTTTGCAGGCTGATTTATAGCTGTCACCACAGCTGATAAAGGTCATCGCTGAATCTCATTTTTTATACCTGCCTTTCGGTGGGGCTGGTGTGCAGTGTAAATGATGCTGAAAATTGTAACTTTCAGGCATAAAGCCATTTATTCCATTATATGATCGTTTTCTTGAACAGCTGAATTCACCTAGGTTATTCCTCCCCCATTTTCAACTTCCAGGAAATTAACTGATTTGCAAATAATTTTAAAAAAATCATTTTTCTCTTATTAATGATTATGAAAACACTAATCTACAGAAACAACCTTCCAGGTGTGATCGTTCACAGTTCAAG